AGTGCAACCGACCCGTCTAACTCATATCAAACACAACGCAGCAGCATCATCATCATCCGCCCGCCTGCATGCGCCTGAGTCTTTCCTCGGCAGCCCTCGCTCGCCTCTCCCGATCCAGCTTCATCCGCATCTCAGGCGTCAACCCCCTTGCCTCTTCTTCCCTCTTTTCCTGTGCTGACTTGTTAGGCTGCGCCGATGCCAGGCCGGCAGCCCTCCTCCTCCTGTCGTCAACCTTGGGCCCTTCGGAGCGCAGCCGTTCCTCCTCGGCTTTCCGACGTTCGGCCTCTTTGCCGTCTTTTTCCTTGCGCTCTCGTTCCTCCCGTTTGTCGGCATCTGCTTTACTCAGTGGCGCCGGTATATGTGCCGTGTCCCAATCCCACGTTGACTCGCCCAGCTCCGAGCGCGCGACTCGGAAGGCGTCCCTAGTAGACCTGTCTCCCGCAAGGTCAAAGGCCGTCTTGCCGTCCTTGTTCGTGACCAGCGGCGATGCGCCACCCCGAGTGAGGAGGCCAAGGACTAGAGGCGCAGCGTTCTGGTGTGCTGCGAGGTGGAGTGGTGTTGGGGAATGATAATTTTGGTCCGGAGGCTGGAATTGAAAGTCTGGTGCGAGGTTGTTTTGTTTCAGGTAGGATAACAAAGCAGGGAGCTTGGTGCGGCGTATCAGAGCTTGGATCTGCGACGTATGAAGCAACGCCGTCTCTTCCTCTTCCGTCAACTTTGGTTTCGTCGGCTTCGGCGTTGGTGTTTTGCTAGGTGTCGGTGTCTCTGTGCGGGGCTTTGCCTCGTCCTCAGGGTTGATCTCTCTGACTTTGAGCCTCGTGAGCTCAATGAACGATCTCATCAGCTCGTTCTGGGTAGCTCGCCGCGTGCTGAAAGGGAACCCCCGTAGCCTCGTATCATTGTGTTTCAAGACTTGTCCGTCGTATGGACCGAACAATGTGCGTCGGTTGGTTGCGCCGGTAGCCCGGATAAACAGTAACTCTGAGGTATCCAGCAATCCCTTCCACTCCCGCAGCAACTCTCGTACGTCTTCTACCAGAGCCTGCTCATTGTAACGACGCAAGCTGGAGCCTGCTGAGTGTGCGGCGCCTTTTGCATTATCGTTTGCTGATTGCGATCCACCTTGCTTGCGACGAGTAGTGTACCGATGGAAAGTCTTGTGGGCGAGAACGGTAGCCTCTCTGTTGAGGGCGCCCGCAGACTTGTTCTGTCGTGGCGGAAGGGCGACAATCATGGCGGCGAAGTGACCGCCGCCAATCATGCAGAGAAAGAAGTGCGGTCCCTTGTAAGCCACAGCTGGTAATGGCGCAGAGCCGTCTTTGGGCACTCTAGGGATGGCTATCGGATCCAGCTGCTTCTTCCTCACCACCTCTGCCAGCTTCGATTGATCGCGAAGCTCTTCTCCTGAAAGAATCGCACGATAGAGACCAAAGTATGTGTTTGGCGGAAGAACCGGGGAGGTGAACCATATCAGCGGCGGTTTGCCTTTTCCAGGCCGTCCTCCCACCTCGTCATCGTCGGCGTTTTCTCCTGGGGCAGGTGAATCCCTCTGGTCGGCTAGTCTAGCTTGCTTCTTCAGCAATGCTGTAAGTGTGGATTCTTGGTCGTTTGCTTCGTCTTCTGATTCGGAGGAGTCTGAGCCAGAGAGACTCTCGTCGAGGTCTACCGACAGTCAGTCGCACAGCTCGCATGCGCAGGGTCAGTGCAACGGCGCATTACCTCCAATTAGTTTCTCAAACTCTTGCTCCGTCACAGGCTTCGCGCCGCGCAGCTTTTGCTTGAGGTTGTAGTGATGCCAGTCAGACTTTTGATGGCTACGCTGATCAAGGACTGTGGAGAAGGTAAGCCCGCAGAGCGAGCAGGCCTGAGAGCCGACGAGATCAGAGCCGGATGTATCTTTGGACGGGGGGGAGGGAGGCGACTGGTCGGAGATCGCGGCGTCTGGCTTGAGGGAGAGTGTCGTCAGGACTTCCGCCGGGAGGTCGTACACTGTGCCCTTGTCAGTGGGGGATGGAGGGGTAGACGTTCGCAAGAAAGCGCACCATAGAGGGGTCGGCGGAGGATATCCGAGGTGTTTTTGTCGCCCATATTGACCGTTACCGTGTACTGCGAGCGCTTCCTTGGGTGGAAGGGTTTGCGACAACCGTAGGAATGTCGCGCCGTCACGATGATATAGCTCGGGATGGCGGGGCGCTGTCATCGGCGTGACTGAGCTTGTGGTCCAGGTGTCAGCAGCATTGACTCAGCCGGCGAAGTCAGAGAACATTGAGTGAGCCACAGATGCCCCGCGGACATGTGGCGTAGGTAGTGGCGGTGCACCGAAGCTTTGTGGCCTTAAATGGGTCCCGACGGCTCTTGTCCAACAGATCAGCTGGAACGACGGTATTGGCGGGGTCAGCACGGTGGCAGGGGGGCCTCCGGCGAAGCAAGCTGAACTCGCTGGGGACGGGTGGGCATCACGTCACCAAGCGTGGGCTAGCTTCATGTGCGCTCACCTCCTAGCTTCATTGCTTGTTTGTGTTTCTTGGCACTCGAAGGACGAACCTCGCTCCCAAACGCACGTCCAGCTGTGCCTGCCAGCTTTTTGTGCTCCTGCCCGCTGTGCTGATTGGGACCTAGCCTGCGTCAGTGGTCCCTGACCAGCTGATGATGTAACTCCACCGATGAGCGGGCGGGTGGACAAGCGCGTGGTGCATCGCGACTCGACCTTTGCTCCCAAGAAATGGTGCTTGCCAAGACTTATTCCACCGGTCGAGAGGGAGGTGCTACTGGGTTTGCCAGTCTAAGCCACCCTTCCATCTCGATAACCCCCGCCGCTGATGTCTGTCTGTCTCTCTCTCGTGCGACCTTTCTCTACTACAAGTAGCCAAGCCATCCCGCTCGTCCTCAATTGACTTTTTCCTCTGCATTCAACCCGATTTCAATCCCACACCCGATAAATCATATCGTAGTATTCGCATACAACATTACCACAATGGACTTCGTCAACAAGCTCACCGGCAACAAGGGCGACTCTTCTTCGTCCCAGGCCCAGCAGCAGCCCGAGAAGAAGGAGTCTGGAGGCTTCATGGACAAGATCAACGGCATGGCCGGAGGCGGTCGTGAGAGCGAGAAGCAGGAGGATGGTCTTGATAAGGGTAAGTTCTCTCGAACATACCTTTCCTTTGCACCCTCAAATCGCGGAAGCTAATATTCTTCCCAGCTGTCGACATGTTCCAAGAAAAGGTTCTCGGCCAAGGCCCCCAGAACAATGAGAATGCCGCAGAGCAGGCGAAGGACGAGCAGATCAGCGACTTCATCAGAGGCCAGTAGTTAGTATCCCAAAACAATCCGCCGTCAACCTGACTGAAACTAACTAATCGCCCCTTGTAGCAAAAACACCACCGGAAAGGACTTCCCTATCGCCGACAAGGACAAGAAGTACGGCTTGTAAGAAGGTGTTCGCGGCTTCCGGGCTGGTATTTTAGTATGGTGCGGGTTTCCGATAGCAAATGCGGCCTGGAAACGACAGCTTTGCGCGCAGGGGAGTCGCTTCGATCGATGTCCTTCACCACGCGCTTGGACAGAACCCTGGAATGGGCCTTTCAGCACTGCACCTAGAATAGTATAATTATCACGACTTTCATGATGATCATTTTTGGTAATATGTCTGCTTCAAGATGCGACGGGTCCGTTGGATTAGGCAGTGAAGCCATGCTAACCCAACCTAATGTAAGTGCCTTACCGAAACATTGGTGGTGGTCAACAAACCCGAAAACAATTCGCGCTGGCAAAATCCTCCGCAAACCCAAACAGCATAATCACATCTGTCGCAGAACAACAGCAAGTACAACCCCCTTCAAACCCGAGAAACATGCTCACTCGACAACGCTCACAGAAGCCTTGGCCATACTGAGTGTATGCAGATAATGTCTTTGTAGCAATCTCCTGGCTTTGTAACTACCAGAACCTACCATTGGAACAATGGCTGGACACCGGTCTTTGATCTTTCTCTCCCACACACATTGTTTACACTATAACATAAAGACAAGACAAGGTCGAGAAGCTTCCCTCTCAATTAGTTTCAGCATCATCTTCCACCACTTTCTAACTTCTTAACCGCACAATAAGTTCTATCCTCGACTCTGAAAATACCCAGGCAAGTCCTCCAAATAGTCCATTCTCACATAAAACAGGTTCACGTCTTCTCTTCAACTCTCAAGATGTGCTGGCAAACCAAAACTCTCTACACCGTTTGCGCCCACTCAACATGGAGCACCGAAAAATGTCCCAAGAGGTCGGGTGGTCAGTGCAGCCTCTGCAAACACACACGTTCGCTCCATGCCATCATCGGTTTCTGCGACGAGTGTGTCGACGTGTACACCGAATACCCCGAACGATACTATGGCGCTCAACGTCCTATTCCACGCTTGCCGTCATCCCAGATTCTAAAAGCGTATTGGTCATACAGACAGCAAAACGGCTGGGACACCACGATCAATGCGACTGACGTCCCTCCTTTTGCTCTTTTTGTTCCGCCAGTGGCCCATCCTGTTACTCCCTCCAGTCCTTTAAGGAGTCCCTTGAAGAGTCCCATGAAGACCTTCTTGTCATCCTTGAAGCACCCATTCAACAGTCAACCGGCACAGAGCCTTACACGGTTCTATGAAAATACGCTTTTCAGGACGATGCATATTTTTTGCCTCACCTCAGACAAGTGCCGTCTTTGCAAAGACAGGCGAAGACCCGACCCAGACTTCGCCGCCAAAGCTGCGCTTATGCGCGAGAAGACCATTGAGTGGACAGAAAGTTTGGGGGCGTCAGATGCCGTGATTCACAAGCATGTGTCAAGTGTTGTTGACGAACTCAGCATATGGTGCGGTATAAGCGGTGACTGCCCGAGCCCAAGTCAATCTTATGGGAACAGACGGGTTCGGCAGAGGGCCCAGACTTGGCAAGAATTTTCCTTGCAGCCTGATCATGGCGAGCATGACAGCAGCCGCTTGCAGCAGCCTTTCCCGATGCCTCAACAAACACCCAGAAGACGACTCGGCTATCCTGTATCTACTCCTCCTGTATCTACTCCTCCTAACAACCCTCCGAGATCACCCCGTCCGGGAGCCACGTACGCGAATGGAGAGGTGAGTCCGCTAAGCGATGAGGATCCAGAGCTACACGCCTCCAGGAGACGAGCCTCATCTCCTTCAAGCATCAACTCGCATACTTCCAACGGCTGCTCGGGTCAGTCTATACACCCGCAAGTACTGGAACACCCATACCCTCGGCAGAGTCAGCCGGCCACGTACGATCAGTTGGAGGGTAGAAACCAAACTCGCCACGCGACGAACGAGAGGTTGCCGCGCTTCAGGAGACAGCAATCTGATGAGTCGAACGGGGAAGCGAGCGTTCCTTGCCATCTCAATGACTACCACAGCAATAAGATCGTGACGGCGGTCCGGGAGGCCAAGCCCAAAACCGTGAAGTTTGCAGCACCTTCACCGTCTGTGAGCTCTGAGGAAGATTCGGAGGACGATCCACGCATCGTGACCGGCTCGATATATAGCCCCCCTAGCAGCCCTCAAGAGCCTCCTCAACCGCCGCCCAAGAGCCCACTTAGGCAAAAACAGGAGAGACCTACGCAAGGCCAATTGCCGGCACCGACACCTCCACCTAAGCACGCGCTTCCGGAAATACCGCCCACGACTCCCTTACGACTGTCCGCCTACGGTGTATCCGGCAGCCAAGCCGCAAGTCCGGCGCGTGCTAACACGCCAATGCGGGCTGAGGCCTCCTCCAACTCGTCCTCCGCTCAGCATCAGCCAGGCGTGGGCCTTGGAGATCAAACGTTCGGATCGGATCCTCGGTCTCCTTCGGTCACGTCAGGGTCTGGCACCACGCCTTCGCGCGGGCGTCCAACCGTCAATATTCGGGATTGTCGTGTCCATGGCGAGACCTATGCGCATGGATGCGAATGGTGTCACACTGATCCCATTGTTAGGGTGGTAGAGATCCCACGCTGGGACGAATATGTGCCAGCATGGCGACGCATGAACCGGCCGAGGCAAGCCTGAGGATGAGGCCGCGAACCAGGTGAGTCTTCCTCGAACTTTATGTACGGACTGGGTCATCGGAAGAAGGGAGCTATAGAGCAGTAAGTTTTATTTATTTATTTGTAGGCGAACTGGCGACAACAGTACGATCCGACAACTGTTTGATGATTATCCCATGGCTCTTCTTTTGCCAGTGCCATATTCATAAAGTTTGACAGTGGGCAAGGGGTGAACCAGTCGACAGGAGCTAGACAGAATATAGAAACAGCAATTCCCTAGATTGCGGCAGCGAGAGATGTTTTCTTGGGGTATTGTATTTTTATATTATCATGGATCCATTACATTACGTCCATCGTCTAGAACATTAGCTTTCTATGTACGTGTATTTCCCCGCTACTCCTAAGTCCACAACTTCCGGATCAGATATTCAATCTGCTCCGTGCGGTATGTGTCCGGCTCCTGATAGGCGATACCTGTGGCATTGACGTCGAAGGCCATGTTGTAGGGATTCTCAACGTCGTACTTGGGCCAAGTCGTGTTGGTGACGCCGTTGTAGTTCGGGTCGCCCTTGGTAATGAACGAAACCCACATGCGCGACATCATGTCAGCCAGCGTCTTGAACGTCTCGGGCTTGCCCGCGAACGGGTCCACCGCGACGGCGGTCTTGTAACCCACGGCGTCGGTGTTATCAAAAACGAAAACGACCTCCTGGAAGTGCTTCGCACCGTCGGAGGGCATCATGCCGTTGACCAGCACGTTGAAGTGGTATGAGTACACTGTCTGGTTCGCCTCAGCCCACTTTCGCGCCCAGTATCGCCTTGGCCCATGTTGAGCGCGGTCTCCCCCAAAGGCCACAGCGCGCTTGTACATGTATCCCAGATCAGCCTCGTCACCCGCTGGGCGGCCGTCGAGCGTTGCGGGGAGGCCGACGCGAGGAATGTCAGGGTACAGCGCGGAGAGGACCTCGATAGTGACGTTGTTGGCGCCCTGGGCACGGAGGTACGAGTTCCACTGCTCGGTGGTGTTGATGCCTTTCTGTCCGAATTGAGTACCCTCGTCGAAGTTGGCGCCAATCAGGATGGGGACGTTGACGAACTTGCCCGCATTGATGAGCTCTGAACGCGGAGCGGGAAGGAAGTCGCCGTCCGCCATGCCATTGAAGGAGGGGCTGGAGGTGCCGTTGATGACGTCGCTCAGGTCCCACGCTGGCAGTCCACGGAGACAGTCCAGCGTGTCCGCAGCAGACGTGCAGTTGGTCTTGTTGACGAGGGTGTCGTAGTAATCCTGCCACGTGTTGGTGGTCGACTCAACTTCGCCAAAGTCCGTCTCCAAGCCGGTTCCGCTCTGCATGATGGCCGCGCGGTAGAGACCATCATCGCGGCCTCCGTAGGCCAGCATTTGCGTTCCGACACTTCGAGCTCCAGCGCTCTCAGCCCAGAGCGTGACCTGCTCCGGGTCGCCTCCGAAAGCGGCGATGTTCTCTTGGACCCAGCTCAAAGCTAACCTCTGATCACGGAAACCGAGATTTCCTGCGCCGGCGGCCTTGATCTCATCGCTCCAGAGGAAGCCCCAAGCATGCAAGCGGTAGTTGATGCTGGCGGCAATGAAAGGGGTTCCCATGCGGACGGACTGCTCGACGATGAAGGAGACGTTGTACCGCGGGTCGGAGCTACCGCCGTTAGTCAGGCCGCCGCCGTGGATCCATACGGCGACGGGCAGCTTCGCATCGGGGGAGACGCCGTGGGGCCGGACGACGTTGATCGTCAGACAATCCTCCGAGACGTAGTTTCCGAGTACCCAGGTGTCGCTCCCATAGCCGAAGCACTGCGGAGAGTACTCTGTGGCATTGCGAGTGCCTTCCCATGTCGAGTTCAGGGGCTGAGGAGCGCGATAACGCAGGTTGTCGACAGGAGGTTGGGCGTAAGGGATGCCGAGGAAGAAGTCCTGGTCGTACGACTGGCTGTAAATGCCGTAGTACGAGCCATTCTTGACTTGGGCAGTGGGAGCAGCAGCACCGGTGTCGTTACCCGGGACGGCTTGTCTCGGGACAAGAGCGGATGCCGTGGCACAAGCCGTGGAGAAGGCGGCCAGCAGACTGAGTCGGGTCATGGTGGTGAATGTTTACAGGGTGAGTGCCGACTGGTTCCGAGCAGACGCTGCAACGACCGTTTCGTCGATTCTCACACCGATCCAGAGGCAGGCGGGCATTTTGTACTTTTCACAACGGGTGCGGGACCGGGAGAAGGTCGGACATTGGGCCCCCCGGGTCGTCCATCAAGACGGGGTCTGGAGATGAAGCCATGGCAAGCATGAATGGTTGATCCCAGCATCGTGCCACGAGACCAAGCCGCCGGGGTGGTGTAGCTTGGTGCAGTGGAACTACGTCACCGCAAGCGAAGCCATTCGAAGGCCTGAAGAAGCATCCAACCGGGGCAAAATTTTGCCAAAAAGGCCCAATGGCTTGGATGCTGGGTATGCAGCACCCCGCATTGTGCCCGCAGAATCGGCCCTACCCCTGAGGATTGTGGAGGGTCGGGGTTGGGTTGTGTGGGGGAGAGGCCGGCAGAGAAATTTGGTGTTCTCGACCGCGGTCAACTCCCGAGGGAGCGGATGAATGTTTGTGTGTCCGGCGCAGCGGTGTTGCGGTGTCGGTGGCCCGATGCCTGTCCCCGACTTCCGAGTCATGACATGGTGAAGAGCGGATCAGGCAATTCGGTACGGCGATGACCTGGGAAGTATCGAGACGTTCTGGATGGCCAGCTCACGATTCGGAGCAGATGAGGGATGGGCTTCCACATGGGTTGAGATATGATGAAAAGCCGTCGATTTCGTGGTTAAGAAGTGAGAACAACCATGTTACGCTGGACCGAATGCTACCTCGCAGCAGCAGCTAGACCGCAACCGCAACGCCTTTCTATCCAGCGTGATTATCGTGATCGTTACTGCCGTTGTATACAGTCACCATTCGCCCGAATAGTAAAAGTCGTCGAAAATGAAGTCAAAAGAGAGATGTTTTGTTTCTCCAAACATTCCATTCCGTTACCTCCGCCGGTTGAGGTAAGGTTAAGCGCACAGTACGAACCTCACAGGCCGGGGTTGCTGGACATTTCCCCACCGCTCGCGCGGCTCGTTCACGACCTTCACAGTGCAGCCGACGCCTCTCACTGTCCCGAAAAAAGTGGGCGAGGCTCAGCAAAATTCAATGACGACATCCGTCCGCTCCGAAAATGCGGCCCCGAAAACCCGGCGTGTTCTCATGAGACGTCCCGGACAACAACCTTGCAACGGAGATCTGTGATGCAGGATCCGTTCAATTTTCATATCAGTGGGTGCCAAGCTCGTATTTTTACTGCTGAGAAACGTGTTACTAACTCGTTTTCATATAGGACAAACTTTTCTGAAAATCTCCCATGATAAGTACAACAAAATAACGTCGAAAATATTCGCTCATCTCACTCTGTGGAACCAATCACCCAAAATGTCGTCCAAGGGCAGCAAATTCGTGCATTGCGTAGGTGCACCCGAATTTGATCCAAAGGCCTACGCGGAAGACAGGGAACGTCACGAGAAAGCGAACCAGCTCTTGGCCCAAAACAACCTCTACTCGGCCGTCAACCTCTCCTTCGGCATCGACCCTCGGCGCGACACCTATGTCTACCATGCCATGACTTCAGTTCGTCTCCTGCAGGTTCAGGAAATCGTGAACATGGGGGGGAAGAACGGTCTTCATGCGTGGTATCGTGATGACGAGGGGAAACCTGTACGTTCTCATCTCATGAGCTCTGATGGTGAACTCACAGCTGAGAACTAAATTAACACGTCCCTCAGCTCGATCCTCCTCCTCAAGCTGACGTAGAGGCCTACATCTCTATCTTCCTCCCGACAACTCTTACATCATCAGCTCTAAAATCGTTCCTCTCAAACGCAAAAAAGTCCTCTCTCCGCTTCGAAATTGCCTCTCACCTCACCGCCCACCGCTACATCCACCCATCCCTGGCCACCACCCTCGCAGTCCCGAAATGCAAAAAGGCAACATCCTGCCCACCGAACCCCTACCTCGACTTCTGGGCGTGGTCATGCCGGAATCTCGAATGGGCCGGGCCGCACCCTTCTTCCGCCAAACGCATGCAGTCTCACCACGTCCTCCCTATCTTCATGCACCACTTCGGCTGCGCCACACCTTCCCACGAAGCCCTCTCCATTCTCAAGACTCTCTTAGCGGGAAGAGCCGTCGCCGACATGGGGTCTGGCAACGGGTACTGGACATTCATGCTGCGCCTCTACGGCGTCACCGCGTTCCCCGTAGACAACATGCAGTCAGAGTGGCGCGTCAACTGGGTTTCCGACACGGAGATCGCCGACGGCGTCAAATGGCTCAAGAAGCGCGACTCGGGCAGGGACCTCGCGTTGCTGCTTGTGTACCCTGTCGTCGGCGGTGGTGTGGCGGGTGGCGAGGAGGGCGGATTCACTAGGGGCCTGGTTGAGGCTTACCAGGGCGACACTATTGCGGTCGTTGGCACGCAGAACGCGAACGGGTACACGGGATTCAAAGGCGTCACAATGGATCAGTACATGGAGAGGGAACACAAGGAGTGGATCAAGGTTGTGCAAATTCCACTGCCGAGTTTCGCCGGAAAAGATGAGGCTCTGTTTGTCTTCCAACGAGGAGAGAGAGCTCCAAAGGATGTGGCTTCCAAGTAGTGATCGCATAGGAGGCAGCGATATAGAGCAAAAAAAGCACATAGATCTTCAGTCATCAAGAACATGCACCAATCCCATAACAAGTGAGGTAGGCTATGTATTCGTCATCAACTGACTATAGAACTCGTCCCTCAAAACCGAGGGATGACGGTAAAAATACATACAACACCGGGCATTCGCCGGTCGTCACCGACCCGACTACTACTCCAGCCCTCACTGGCTTATCTATGGGAGAGCGGACGGGATCCCGAGTTCTCCAGTGGGTATGGTCGTATGTGCTGAGTGAATTAAGACAAACGACATATATCGTAAGAAGTTCCGCTTAGGTGAGGATGCAGTTCGACGAGCCTCAACATCAGATGAACTCTAAACAATATGTGATGCGTGTGCGAGTAATAGAAACAGGAAAATAAGCACGACACGGATCAGTACGACAGATCTCTGAGAAGCCGCGATGACCTTACCGACTTGTCGGTAACTTTTGCCCGGCCAACTGCATGTCGTCTAGGGATGTAGGCAGTCCATCGCGGCACCAAGACTTATGCGCCAATTACACACGCACACTCATACAAACACGTGCAAGGCCCAGATGCGGCGAAATAACCGTAAAAATCAGAATCTTGAGGAAAGAAAAATCTATGAACCATGATCACACCCCCCATGCCGCCGCCGGACGAAGCATATCTTACCAGCAAGTACGCTCTCCGACGCCTCCGAACCGAAGGAGAAAAAGAGCCTGAAAACCCAAAACCCAAGCTTCCAATTCCTGTATTCCTCCACGAGTAAAATCCCCAACTTGACCTTTGCCGGAGAAGCAACAAAACCGAGAGCATGAAATTTTTTTGTGATAATGGACCAAGAAGCCGACCATAAACGAAGGAGGAAAAACGAACCTCACCCACCACCCACCACCTCCAGCCCCTCGCACCGTCGAAACGTAGAAAACTTCATCCCCAAACTTTGAAAAATGCAAGAAACGTCGAGCCATGAAAAGTAAATAGCCGCCTCATGTCTTGTCGTGGTCCAAGGCGTCGTAGCAAAGCTCGTGTGCTGCTTGCTGCAATGAATAAAAATGGCGCAGAACAGAAACCTTCCGGTCAGGAAGGAACCTCCCCAAACGAATAATGATTTTGGAAAGCAAACGTCTTTTTTCATCCTTCGTAGAGAGAAAGAAAACTGAAGGGGTTCATCGTCACGTCATCACCGTATGAGAAAACCAAACGGTTGGTATCTCCTCTTCCTTAGCAGCCTCCTTTATGAACTTGTCGGATCGGCACGTATGATACAGAGTGGTTGTTTTTTGTGTCGCAAAAGGGTCGTGAGACGTCGGTATTAACGATGCGCGGAAACGAGATAAAAACGAAAGCAGAAAAACAGTTATGAATCGGTTCGATGAGGGGACTCGCTCGAGAATGCAGATGTCAAGTTTGTGCCCGTGGACGGCGCGGTTATGTGCGTGACCAGATAAATACTTGGCAAAGGTATTTTGCGACTTGCGTTGTGGCCGATCTGTCTTAATCATCGGTTTCGCCCTTTCTCATTCTCTCGTTCCACTTCCGCTTGCCGACACGCGTCTCGTAGTGCGGTGCGAGGGTCTTGACGTCCTGCATGATGGACTCAATCGCGGAGCGAGTCTTGTTACGGTAGCAGTCCACTTGGATGGTGTTAGCCTCTGTGATGTTCGACACATCCTTGGAGTACTCACGGGCTCTTTGAAGGAATACAGTGCGACCTGCGAAGACTCGGCTCTGGAGCCAGGCCATCCGGTATCCGAGGTCGTTGAGACGCACTTCCTTGCCTCTCACGCTCTTCCTCATTCGGGGGATGGCAACCTCTCCCTCGGTGTTCTCACCAATGGGCACCTTGACCATGGCCTTGCTGTTGCCGCGGGCTCTGCGTGTGCGACCGTCAGTCTCCTCAACGCCGTCATCCTCCTCATCAGCATCCTCCATGAAGAACTTGGATCCGGTCGCTGAGGGAGGCGGGCTCTGCATCTCGCGTGGGAAGTACGACCGAGGGAAGACGGAAGCTCCCTTGCGGAAGGAGTCGGGGATCTCCTTGGTATCGACGCCATCGAGCGTGACTCTCACACGAAGGCGCGAGCCGCGGACGTTATCCTCGACGAGGATGAACTTGCGCTTCTTAGCCTCAGGGATGTTGGGGAACAGATCTTCGGGCTCGTCGTTCTCGCTGCGGCTGTGGCGACGGGCGGAGATGGCTCCGCCATGAGAGCTGCCCATGTGCGGCATGGACCCGGAGCTGGGGGCCGGATAGCCTCCGTAGCTACCGGAGAATACTTGCGACTGTCTCACGTCGCCGTCGCCACCCGACTGGCCGGTCGGGGCTTGGTGGTGATGGTGGTGTTCATCAACGTATTCTCCATCGCCTAATCAGTCATGGTAAGTCAG